TCAGCTCAAGGCTAGCGCTCTACCACTTGAGCCACAGTGCCACTTCCGGCTTTTTTCTTTTTGCTTATGTGGTGCTGAGGAATTGAACCCAGGGCCTCAGGCATGCAAGGCAAGCGCTCTACCACTGAGTCACCTTCCCAGTCCCTACTCTTTAATTATTATTATTTTATTTATTTATTTATCTATTGGCCAGTACTGGGACTTGGGCAGTATCTCTGAACTTGTTTTTGCTCAAGGCTAGCACTTTATGCTTAAGCCACAGAAACATTTCCGGCTTTTTCTGTGTATATAGTACTGAGGAATCAAACCTAGGGCTTCATGCATGCTAAGCAAGCACTCTACCACTAAGCCACATTCCTAGCCTTTAATTTTTTTTTTAAATAGCTTTTACCAGATATGATTGCATTGGACTGCGGTCCCAACATTCAAGAGATTAAGGCTGGAGGATGATGAATTTGAGGCCAGTCTGGGCTACATAACAAGACAATGCAAGAAAAACGTGGGGGCATTTAGACAAGTGCAGTGGCTCAAATCTATAATCCTAGTTACTTGGGAGGCAGAGATCAGGATTGCAGTTTGAGGGCAACCTAGGCAAAACAATTCCTTTCTCAATTAAAAACTGGGCATAGTGATACTTGCTTGTCACTCCAACTACATGGGAAGAGTAAATAGGAGGGTCCCATCTAGATTGGCTCAGGCAAAAAACTAAACCCTATCTCAAAAATAACCAAAACAGGGGCTAGGAAGGTGGCTCAGTGGTAGAGTGCTTGCCTTACATAGATGAAGCCCTGGATTCTATTCCTCAGCACTACATAAACAGAAAAATCCACAAGTGGCGCTGTGGCTCAAGTGTAGAGTGCTAGCCTTGAGCTGAAGAGCTGAGGGACAGCACCAGGCCCAGAGTTCAGGCCCCACAACCACCACCACCACCAACAAACAGCCAGGTACTTTTACTGGTAGCTCACTCCTGTATAATCCTAAGTACTCAGGAAGCTAAGAGCTGTGGATCATAGTTTGAAGCCAACCCAGGCAGAAAAGTATATGAAATTCCATTTGAAATTAACCAGCAAATATCTCATACTAGACATGTGGTTCAAGTGATAAAGCATCTACCTAGAAAGCACAAATCTCTAGTATAGGAAGGCCCCTGCCACTGTAATCGTGAGCTCTCACTGATGATGGCATGATTGCTGTACAGTCTGAGCTGTGGGAACCAGTTGATGAAATATATTAATAGACAGGCTAAGAGAAACAGAAAGAAAAAGAAAGGTCTTGGAGTATAACTGGTAGAAACAAACATGTATTAGACCCATCGATGGCACTACAAAAATTTACCTTCTTGAGCCACTTCATTTACTGTCTATATTTGGCACTGAGTCTTCACTGGCTTCTACCTTACAGTAATATAAATCTTTTTCCTTGGTGTATCATTTTTTTTCTCTTTCTCTAAATTTTTTCCACGAATTCTTTTCTGCTGTTTAAGTCTGCTTAGTGCAAAAACTTATCTGACTTTGAGCTTAATGACATCTTTGAAGGAATCTAAGGAAAAAGCAAGAATTTACAGCTTGGAATGTCTGGTTTTGCTAAAGGAGGACCATGTTACCAGAAACATTAGAGACAAGCCTCTAGGGAAGCGCTCCAAAAAGTCCTCAGGTTCCCAGAGTATACCCAGTGAATAGGTAGCATTGTTGTTATGTATGGCCTTGGTTAACTATAATTGAGTTTAGTGCCAGCTAATAATCCATTCAGAAATTCTGGATGCCAAACATTGTCAAACAGACCCAACTTCCTTTTTTCTAGGATGACTACAATGAAACTCAAAGCCATTCTCCAATAAGGCCCGGCATTTCTTAAAATGAAAAACAAAAAGGGAAGAAAGTACCCACGTATTATTCTTTCTTCTAACTTAGTAACTTTTCCTACTGAAAGTCTAGCTGTGTACACCGAACTAAGGTCATATAGTTGTTTCTTTTTTTTCTTCTTTTTCTTTTTTTTGCTAAGTTCTCAACAAACAAGATACCTTGCATTTCTGGAAGGAATTGCCTCTTTCTGCTTTTGGCATTTCCCTTTGTGCTTATCTCAGAAGTTCCCACCTCATAAAACGCCTCCCTGCTGTGATCATATGGTCGTGAGGAAGAGGAATTCATGCGAACAGTGACAGCTGCTTCCTGAAGAGCTCCTCAGAATTTATGGCTCTGTATTCCCTGACCAAGATCTTAGTTCAGACCAGAATAATTTTCTTTAATTTTTCTAAATAGTCTCTAGAGGACATTGGGACTCCTATAAAACATCGTTATAAATCATTCCTCAGAAAATTGAATTAAACTTTAAATTTCATATGACAAACTGCTAAGTTCAAAATTTTTCTAGTTTTCTAGTTATAGAAGGAAATATACATTCTCTTAGTAGAAATATATAGAAGAAAATTATAATCAATATCCTCTACAAAGAAATCGTGAGTGTGGTTAATGTTTTACTCTTTTTCTTCAGTCCTTTTATTGGGGCTAGGGTGGTAGTGGGATTTGAACATAAGCCTGTTGACAGCTATTGCACTGCATAGAGCAGCTCCAGATCATCCCAGTTCATTCTACTACTAACCTCCTGTCTGAGGGAGAACAGGAAGTTGTGGAATCAGGAAGAATCTTTTCCTTTTTCCTTTATTTGTGGTGCTGGAGATCATACCAGGGCCTCAAGAATACTAGGTAAATGCTTTACCATTGAGCTATACACAGAATTATTTCTAAGCGGAGCTTCTCAACTGGGATGGGACTACTTTGTATATTCTCTCACAATCAGGTATCTGGAGATACAGCTCTTGGGAAGATGCTTATTAGCAACTTCACACCTTCTAGAAGCTGTTGGAGAGATAATAAATATGTCACAATAAAACGGTTTCTAAATAGTGAGAAAACTTTTCAGGGAGGGTCTTACACTTTATGAAAAATTTGGTCCAAACTTTTTTTTTGTTTTTTGTCCGTCATGGGGCTTGAACTCTGGACCTGGGCACTGTCCCTCAGCTCTTCAGCTCAAGGCGAGCGCTCTACCTCTTGAGCTACAGCGCCACTTCTGGTTTTCTGGTGGGTTATTGGAGATAGGAGTCTCACGGTCTCTCCTGCCCGGGCTGGCTTTGAACCGCGAGCCTCAGATCTCAGCCTCCTGAGTAGCTAGGATTACAGGCATGAGCCACCAGTGCCCGGCTGGTCCAAACTTTTTTATTTCCAAATACACCACTCATTCACTTTTTGTACTTTTTTCTTTTTTCCTTTTTGTACCTTTTTTTGTAAAGGCAATGTGCAGAGGGGTTACATAAGTAAGGTAATGTGTACATTTTTTTGAGCAGTGTTATCCCCTCCCTTGTTTTCTTCCGTTTTTCTGCCCCCCCCCCACTACTCCCTCTCTGCCAAGTTGTAAAGTTCACTTCCAACACAGTGTCTAGAAAGTATCACAGTTGTATTGTTTTGTTTTATTTATATCAAATTCTTGGGCTGGGAAGGTGGCTCAATGGTAGAGTGCTTGCCTCACATGCATGAGGCCCTGGGTTCAACTCCTCAGCACCACATAAGCAGAAAAAGCTGGAAGTGGCACTGTGGCTCAAGTGGTAGAGCGCTAGACTTGAGCTGAAGAGCTGAGGCACAGCACCCAGACCCAGAGTTCAGGCTGAACGACTAGCAAACAAACAAACAAATTCTTGCAACTTCTGCAGCATCTGAAATGCTGCAGAAATGCCTGAGTCATCACCATTGATTTTTTTTTTTTTCCTCTCCTCAATCAAATACAACTTTCACAATCCCTTTCAGAAGCTTGGTGAATTTTCTTTGGATCTTTTGACTGTGTTCTGTTTTTTTTTTTTTTTGTTTTTTTTTTGGGTCCGGTCGTGGGGCCTGAACTCTGGGCCTGGGTGCTGTCCCTCAGCTCTTCAGCTCAAGGCTAGCGCTCTACCACTTGAGCCACAGCACCACTTCCGGCTTTTATCTTATGTGGTGCTGAGGAATCGAACCCAGCATGCAAGGCAAGTGCTCTACCACTGAGCCACCTTCCCAGCCCCTGTGTTCTGTTTTTTAAATGATTCAATGGTTTGTCTTTTTATTTTCCTTATTAGTCATTTCATATGCCAGTATATTTAGAGCCCTGTTCTATCTTTCTTTCCTTCAGTGACATTGCTACCCCCTTGGTTCTGGAACTTAATCTTAGGTCCTTGCTCTCTCTGGCTTAGCTTCTTCTACTCAAGGCTGGCATTTTACCACGCAAACCATATTTCCAGCCTTACATTGCTTTTCTTGGTCTCTAGTTCTCATTCATCCATGACATTTTCCTCTTCGTAATCCTTTAATTCTTAGATCTAGATATCCTTGCCTCCTGCTGTCATTTATTCTTCTCAGAGTTGGTCCCTAATACTTTTCTTTTTTTTGGGGGGGGGTCTAGTCATGGGGCTTGAACTCTGGGCCTGGGCGCTGTCCCTCAGCTCTTCAGCTCAAGGCTAGTGCTCTACCACATGAGCCACAACAACACTTCCGGCTTTTTTCTTTTTTGCTTATGTGGTGCTGAGGAATTGAACCCAGAGCCTCATGCATGCAAGGCAAGCACTCTACCACTGAGCCACCTTCCCAGCCCCAAGGTCCCTAATCATTTTCATTCCAGGTACTTTCCCATGTGTGTTCAGAGTATGCTATAAAACTCTCCACACAAGTTTTCACTGCTTTCCTCCTTTAGGGAAGCTTGAAGTTAGAAGTTTTTATAGGAAACTAGACTTTACTTTCAGAGTAAGTCTACCAAAACAGTCTTTCCTCTGAAAATGTAGCCCATACTAACTCACCAGTAATTCACTCTCCCTCTGAAGATTTTGATGAGAACTATTTAAGTTTTATGGCAACCAAGAAGTTATACACACTCCAGCTCTCACTGTGAATTGAATTTGCTGAACAATTGGAAAAACCTTGTGGGAAAACTGACTGCCTTTTTTGCCTTCTCTTGACAGAATGTTACACGAAACTTCCAGGACTTTGACTGTCAGGTAAGAATTGTATGAATACTGAGGGCTCTATACAGATCTCTGTTTCCTTTCTTCCTGTGGTGATAGTCTTGTGGAAGTGGACCCCTTATCATAGCTAATCATGATTCCTTAAGGTTCTTTGGGAAATTGAGTCAAGTTTATTTAAACTGTGATTTCATTATGCTCAAAAAGTGTCTGCCGGGTACATGTGTTATAACTGTACATGACTGGGTTGAACTCTCTATGATTAAGGTCTTCTTTCCTCAAATGATATTAGAAACCTCATGGAATGTTTTCATTGACTACAGAGAAAATAGATGATGGGCAGTTTGGAGGCTAGAGATCTCAATAGCAAAACCTTTTCCTAAATGAAAACACAAATTATTATTAATGCAAAATGGAGATTTCTGTTGGCTTTATGAAAAATTTAGGCTGACTCATTATTTTTGTAAATGTATTTTTCTTCCTAGTGCATCCGTTCTTTCACGCTTCCTCCCCCCGCCTCTGTGCTAGTCATAAGGCTTGAACTCAAGTTTGGGTGCTGTCCCTGAGACGTTTGCTCAAGACAGCTCTACCTTTAGCTTTGTTGGTAATTAATTGGAGCTGAGTCTCATAGACTTTCCTGCCTGGGTTGACTACGCCCCTGAAATACTTCCTATGGCTAGAGAGTGTTCTGAGTTGTGGTATGGAGTTAAATAGTCATTAACTCTCCTCTTGTTCCTCTAAGGCTACAAGAAGAAGATATTAGACCTAGCTTTGAAGGGAAAAAAGACAAATTTTAGGTTGACGTACTACAAAAGAAGTTTTCAAATACACTGTGATTCTTTTTTTTTTTTCCAAATTTTTTATTGTGATTAAGTGGTTACATAATTTCCCAAATTTCACAGTATTGTGGGATAGTGATGCTTAGTTAAAGTCACAAACACATTCTTACTTTCATGGAGCAAATTGTCTATCATGGTCTATAACATTTATGAGTTCTATGAGCTTTGCAAAACAGTTATTTCTTCCACATTGGGTGATATGTACATTTCTTTTGTATAGCATCAGCTGTTCCCTCTTTCCCACTTGTTCCCTCCCTCCCATAGCTGCCATTGTGTTACTTAGTTCATTTTGGTCAATGTCCAGTGCAGCTGATGGGTCTTGCTGGTGTATGTTTTTCCCTGATTCCCTCTAGTTCTGTGTCATCCTCCTGGTTTCCCTCCAGTGTGCACGTATATACCATACATGTGATCAGCAGCATGGGGTTATTTAGTAGTGATTCGACCAGATGGGTGGAAGTCCTTTGTTTCTTAAGTCCTGCTAATTTTGTCGTATCACCTAACATTTTGGATTTATCAGGGAGACCATGTACCGTTTGTCTCTTTGCACTTGGCTTTCCTCACTCAACATGGTTTCTTCTAGCTCCATCCATTTCCCTGCAAGTGCCATTATTTTATTGTTTCTAATGGCTGCATAATATTCCATTTACACTGTGATTCTTAAGAAGGCTGAGAATTGGGTAGTTGAAAAGCAAAAGTAAATGTCTGAAAGTGTCAGCTAACCTAAGCTAAGAGGTATAAGAGGTAACAGGAGAGACTAAAGCCAGAAATAAGGAAAAAAAATGTATCTCAGAAATGTAAAAGGAAAAAAATTATCTACTGATAGGCCAGAGGCAGAGTGATTGGTAAATTGTTTTACTATTTATGAAATTAAACAAGATTATGCAATGGACAGGGGTATGGTAATGGAATATTACATTAAAAATCTGCTATATTGTGCTGAGGTGTGGCCCCGTGGTGGAGCACTGACCTACAATGCACAGGGCCCTGGGTTCTGTACTCAGGCACACATACACATATTTCTATTTAATAATGGACACCATACCCAAGTCTCATAATGAAATCTGTTTATTGGAAACAAAATTTCATGCTAACCAAAATATTGACATTTCCTAGAGTATGTAAGGTTTACTTAAATTATTTCAGACTGGGCAGGGAGGGAAAGGAGAAGTAACAGGTGTAAAGTGATGATGAACCAGTAATAAGTGGTAAGTCCCAGTGTGTGGTGCTGACTGCACATTGAACTGAAGGGAGAGGACTGTAGAAAAGGTGAGATTAGCCAGGCACCAGTGGCTCACGCCTGTAATCCTAGCTACTCAGGAGGCTGAGATCTCAGGATCACGGTTCAAAGCCAGCCTGGGCAGGAAAGTCCATGAGACTCTTCTCTCCAATAAACCACTAGAAAACCAGAAGTGGCGCTATTGCTCAAGTGGTAGAGCTCTTGCCTTGAGCTGAAGAGCGCAGGAACAGCGCCCAAGCCCAGAATTCAAGCCCCACGACCGACTGAGAGAAAGAAAAAAGAAAAAGTGAGATTACTAATAGCCAACTCTTAATTTTTTGAGAGGACTCTGAGTAAGACTACAGCTATCACTGGGAGGGAGAGTCAAGGCTGGAGAAGGATATCTCAAGTCCAGAGAGCAAAAAGATCATGTTCACTGGTAACCAGCCTTGGAGGGGTTGGCAAAACCTGTGAGATGTTGCATTGTCCTCTGCCCTTTAAGCACAGGATCTCATTGTAGGGTCACATTCTAGAATGCTGGGCTCACCAGCAGAATGCTAGAAGTCACCAGACAAAGAGCCAGTAAAACAGGTGAGACTTGACAAGAGCAGCAAGGTGGCAGCAGCTGGCGCCCTGCAGTGTCCTGACCACAGAATCCACTCCATAGCCAGAGTGTCTGCACTGCTCCCCACATGGAGTTTCCTTCAAGCTACCCACATACTAGTTTCCAAATCCCTGTGGAGGTCAGTTCCTTCTTCTCTTCATACCCTTTCCTCTCAGAACATTCACCCTCACACACTTGGAAAATGAAGAGGAGCCTTCTCAGACCTTGACAAGCAATGCAATTAATAGAACCTAGGACTTTCAGCCCTTCAGTGCTTTGGTAGTTACATGATTAAAAGTCATGAAATCGGATCTCTCTAAAGGATTGAGATTTTGTAAAAAAACAATTTTATCCAATTTATGAAGATAAAGTAGTACGTTGCCATTTTTTCTTGTCTAATTTTAAAATGTTTACTTCATCTATTATATTCCTGTTTTCTTCTTCTGACCTTTTCTGATAGTTCACTTTACACACACACGCGCGTGCACACACACACACACACACACAGCCAACTACCTGGTCGTGGGAAAGTCCTCTGCTTAAGGTCACATTGCAATCTGGTGTTTCATTCCGTTCTCAATAGCCGGAACTTTAGTCCTTAAGGTCAGCACTTTACCACTCGAGCCACAGCTCCACTTCTGGCTTTTGTTTTGGTAGTTAATTAGAAATAAGAGTCTCACAAACACCCCTTCCTCAGACTGGCTTTGAACCAACATTTTCAGATCTCAGCCTCCTGTGTAGCTAGGATTACAGGCATGAGCCACTGATGCCCAGCTAGTAATCATGTTCTTACATTTTTAAGATTTTTTTGCATTAATACTTCTACTAATTGCTCAATTTTTATTTTTTCTATTTGACAATCACAGCACCTGATTATTCTACTTTTCTCATTCAAGTCTTTCAATAGGTTTTAATAGGAGTGTTGACTAACAGCAAATAACAGAAATGTGTAGTCACCCATGGAGATTGATCTTAAGAGACATCTCTCTGCTTTAGATTGGGGCTTAGGATTCAACAGACACCAACCAGTGCATTTGGGATGGATTGGCTATAGATGAGCCTGTGATGTGAAATGTTCTGATGTACAATTAGCCTGAAACCCTTCTGGATTCTACATTGGAAAAGAAGTTAAAAGTCTGATGAGGTTTGTTATTAAATAGGAAATTAAGTTGGAAGCCTCTTGCTTCTGTTGAATTTCTATTGGAAAAATTAATCTTGACTTATCTAGTGTGAGACTTTTTAAACAAGTTGTGAATGTCATCAACAAATTTAGTAAGCTAGATATTGTGTGTGTGTGTGTGTGTGTGTGTGCGTGCGTGCACACATGTGTATATTGGTACTGGGGCTTGAACTCAGGGTTTTTTGCTCTAATTTGGCTTTCTTGCTCAAGGCTAGCACTCTACAACTTGAGCTACACTTCTACTCCCATGACTGTTATTTTCATTTTAGAAACATAAAAGAGGTGTAGACTGTAATAAACCTCATTTACTATTCTGCGGTCCCTTTCATTCCTACCTCAATACTCTTGGCAATACAGCCACTCCCAAGCAGCATACTCCTTGGCTAAGCTCTGTTCTGACCACATTTGAAATCTTACAGGTATATGGAACAAACCCAAATCAAATAGCTTAAACCAAAGACTATCTAGGGATAGCTCCAAACATAAGAACACAAAAAGCTGGTACCAGGCTTTGTAGGAGATCCCTAGTTTCTTCTGTCAAGAAAAACACCAAGCTAAAAATGGACTTTCTTATTACAAAACAAATTCCTAGGGGAAGGACTTGGGAATCCACAGTTGAAAGTCATATTTGGAAGCCAAGTGCTGGTTGCTCACACCTGTAATCCTAGCTACTGAGGAGATCTGAAGATCGCAGTTCAAAGCCAGCCTGGGCAGAAAGGCTGTGAGATTCTTCTCTCCTATAAACCATCAAAAAACCAGAGGTGGCACTGTGGCTTAAGTGGTAGAGCACTAGTCTTTAGCTGAAGAGCCGAGGGATAGCACCCAGGCCCAGAGTTCAAGCTGCACAACTTGGGGGGGGGGGGAGGCTGGGAGTCATGTTTGGGCCAGGAATGTGGCTTAGTGGTAAAGTGCTTGCCTAGCCTGCATGAAGCCCTGGGTTCGATTCCTCAGTACCACATAAACAGAAAAAGCCTAAAGTGGCATTGTAGCTCAAGTGGTAGAGTGCTAGCCTTCAGCAAAAGAAGCTCAAGGACAGTGTTCCAATTGTAAGTTCAAGTCCCAGGACTGGCAAAAAAAAAAAAAAAAGTCATGTTCCACAAACACATCCGCTAAGAGGTACTTGGTTACAGGTAAATTACACATAAGAACATTCCCAGAAAAGTAGACTGTAGACAGACATAGCCATAGCATTGTCCTGAAATTCTCTGCAGGTAAACATGTAATTAGAAGCTGACATTCTACACAGAAATGGATTCATGTCTTCTGTTACCTTTACTTTCCTTTCTCAAGTCTTACCTGGCTCCTTATCCAACTTGCTTCTTTCCCTCCCACAGCCTATTACAAATACATTCTGAACAGATCCTGACTTCCAGGATGCCTGAGTGAGCCTTGAGGATGACAGCATCTATTTTTGTTTTGATATGTATTATCTATCTTTAGAGGAATTCGAAAATATAAATAGAATGTATAGTATAACATGGTGGGTTTCTACCTCATTACTACATCACGCCTCACCTACTAGGAAATGACAGCACAGCAGTTACTGTGAAACCTTGGCAAACCTAGAACGTTCATTCTGCCTTTGTTAAGACCTGAACTTCTCTTGTTATAGGAACATGACATAGAAACAGCCCATGGTGTGGTCCACGTCACAATGAGAGGCTTACCAAAGGGAAACAGACCAGTTATCCTGACATATCATGACATTGGGCTTAACCGTATGTATTTGATTTTGCACCTTTCCTTTCACCATAATGGATAACCTTTGTATATTAAAAAACAACAATAGTAGTTCTCTAGTAGAGCAGAGATGTTCTCAGTTTCAATCCCTCTCCTTATCACTATTATCATTCATGGCAGGATTGAAAGTTTGGTAAGGACACAAGGCAATGTGTTTTCCAGAGTACTGGAATTAAACCTTGCCTTTGTGTCATATCTGCTACAGGATTGAATGTTAAGAAGGAACAACTGAAATTGTCAGTACTTTTTTCATATTTTTTTTGTCTGCTTTGGGTTAGAAAATGCAGAAATTTAACTTTGTTTTGAGCACTGCAATGCCTCAAAGTATTCTTTCCACAGCCTGTCCTAGGTGAATTTTTTACATGGTACAGGTTTAAGATCCCTAGTCCCAAAGATCAAAATCTAAAATACTGCAAAATCTGAAGCTGCTTGAGTGCCTCAAGTGGAAAATTCCAGCCCTGGCCTCATATGATAGAACACAGTCAGTATATAGGTGCAACAAAAATAGTGTGTTTATCTATTTGTGTTAGGTTAATATGGAACCCAGAAGAAAAATATTTCACATCCAGACCTAGGTCCCAACCAAAGAGAATTCTTTGTACATGAGCAAATTCTCAAAAATTAGATCCCAGAGCTGGGAATGTAGCTTAGTGGTAGAGTGTTTGCCTACCATGCATGAAGCCCTGTTCAATTCCTCAATACCACATAAACAGAAGAAGCCAGAAGTGGTGCTGTGGCTTAAGTGGTAGAATGTTAGCCTTGAGCAAAAGAAGTTCAGGGACAGGCCCTGAGTTTAGGTCCCAGGACTGGCAAAATAAAATAAAATTAGATCCTAAACACTCTGGTGAGAAGTATTTTGGGTAAGAGGTAAGGTGTGTTTTATCATTTCAGAAAAGGATAAAGGACACTTAGCCACAGAAACTATAACACAGGGAGTCCAGATACGTGTGTTTATCTCAACAGCCACTACTGTGGCTTTCAGAGTGGCCTGAATTTGAGTTTATAGTCCAAGGCTACAGCTTTTGTACCACCTAAACATGGGAACTCATTTCATCTCTGATCCTAAGAGGGTAGAAAACAAAGCAGCCACTCCTTCCTTCAGATTGAAGCAGCAATTTTGGCAACAAGCCATCCTCTGTTTGGGAAATGTGTACAGCTGAAGATCTTCCCTCCAGCCAACCTCATGTGATATCATCAGTATATCTCTGTCAAATTTGAGGATAAGATGAAGGAAAGGACAGCATTGTGGCTGTTAGACTAAGTGTGCACCACCAAGAAACCAAGAACACCCCAAAATAGTTTATACTCTGCATAGTGGATTTGAGAAGGAGTAGTTTGGAGACATTGTGATGCTTTCTGTGAGTCTTCAGAGCTGTGTGAGCCAGAAGTTTTGTTGACATATCTCCCTTTAGTGGAATGGTGAGTTAGAGGAAGGCCTTAACTGAATAGAGAAAAATTGAGGATATACTGGAGACATGACTTATGGGTATTTGTATCTTGTAGATAAATCCTGTTTCAACACTTTCTTCAACTTTGAGGATATGCAAGAGATTACCCAGCACTTTGCTGTCTGTCATGTGGATGCCCCAGGCCAACAAGAAGGGGCACCCTCTTTCCCAACAGGGTAAGGACACAGGAGAGATGTCTGGGAGAGTGAGCTCTCTGGTGACCACGCAGTCAGAAGAGCCATGGCTTAAGCTGTAGGGGAGCAGTAGCCAATGCCTCCCTGATGACATCATAGCCTGTAGGAGAGGTTGCTCAGCTCATTGTACTGAGCAATTTTCTTCTTGGTCTGAAAGGACTATTTCATTGTTGTTATTGTTATTCTATTCCTGGAACTTGAACTCAGGACCTAGGTGCTATCCCTGAGCTTTTATGCTCAGGCTAGTGCTCTACAACTTGAGCCACAGCTCCACTTCCTGCTTTTTGATGGTTAATTAGAGATAAGAGTCTCTTGGACTTTCCTCCCTCAGCTAGCTTACAACCATTAATCCTCAAATCTCAGCTTTCTGAGTAGCCAGGATTACAGGAGTAAGTTCCTGGCGCCCGGCTTAGAAGAACTATTCTGTCTATTAGCGAAACTTCATGTTTTCCCACAGGCAGAGTGGATGTCTATGGCAGGGACTGTTGCCCTCTAATCATAAGACTTAATGTGTCTGAAACAGTCTCACTGTATTAGATGTTGCCCCCTAAGCATTTACTCTAAATCTTGCATTTTTGTGTCTTTTCTTAAGTTCGCAGAATCCTCTTCCCCAAATCAGACCACATCCTCATCCTTAGCTGCCATGCAGGGATGGAGTCTGGATATCCATTTGCTCTGACATCCTTCCTGACAAGCATGGATGCTGTTTTACTGACCTTGGCACTCTGTTTCAATACTTAGCCACTTTGCCTGGCAGCCCTAGCCTCACAGTGTTCTTATCTATGTATGACATGACTGTAGAAAGAGCCTTGAGAAGGAGGAGTGGGAGCACACACTGGTCTGCTCATCCTTTCCTTCTATCCATCTGCAGAGCTGCCTTTGGCAGCTTTGGCTTTGTTTACTGGCTTGACTGATAAAACTCTCTGGGATACATTCCCTAATCTTCTCATTCTATAAGTGAGAAAAATTGAAGCCTAGAAAAATCAGCAATGTGCACAACATGTAGCAGAGCTTGGATTTGAATCCAGACAGTCTGGCTCCAAAATATGTAGACTATATATCCAAACTGTTCTGCCTCTCAAATGCAAATTGACCAGTGATTACTTGATAACCAAGAAATGGATCCTAGTTCCTTTTTTCTGTTTTGTGCACAAATGGTTTGAGAACATTCCATCCCTTAGTGTTCATCAGAGGCAGACTGACTTCTTTGTTGGTTTTCACAGCAGACCTTGCCTCTTATATCAGCAGTCATCCTGTGTCATTCTGTCATGCTATTAGTTTTCTCCTTGTCTCCTGCTCTGAGTCTGCCTGGGCTTGCCTAACCATTTTAGGTTCAAATGGCTCATATCAGGAACAATCAGTCAATAAAGTAACTATGTTATCCTGTGCTTACAGGAAATAAATAAGCATTCATGCTGAGCGGCCTAAGAGTTGTAAATTTGCTTAGACTCAAGAAACCTTCATTTCCTTTTGCATGCAACTACCCCAGTTGAACAGCAGATAATAGACTAAGAGTTATTTGCTGAGTTAAGTCTTTCTCTTGGAAGTTTCCTGAGCCTGAAACCTAGCTGAAATGATTATAAGGAGTATAGAAAATAACACAAGGAGTTGGTGCCAGTGGTTCACACCTATAATCTTAGCTACTCAGGAGACTGAGATCTGAGGATCACAGTTCAAAGCCAGCCCCGGCAAGAAAGTCCATGAGACTCTTATCTCCAATAAGCCACCAGAAAAACCAGAAGTGACACTGTGACTCAAGTGGTAGAGGGCTAGTCTTGAGCTGAAGAGCTGAGGGACAATGCCCAGGCCCAGAATTCAAGCCCCACAATCGACAAAAAAAAAAAAGAAAGAAAGAAAAAGAAAATAGTGAATGGCAGCTCGCAGGGCCGGACGGGGTGGGGGTGGGGCGTAAATAAAATTAAAAAAGAAAAGAAAATAGCAGAAGGGCCATGGAATGGGTTTCTTTCATGTGACTCTCTCTGGGCCAGAGAAACATAAGAGGCCTCTTTTACTTTCTCCTTAGCATGGCAGCTGTAAAGTATTACCCATTTTATGCCACAGGCATCTCTTGGTACCACATCACCTCCTTTGAGCCTTTGGTAAAAGACAGTGTGTTTGGGCTGGGAAGGTGGTTCAGTGGTAAGAGTGCTTGCCTTGTATGCATGAGGCCCTGGGTTCGATTCCTCAGCACCACATAAGCACAAAAAGCCAGAAGTGGCACTGTGGCTCAAGTGGTAGAGTGTTAGCCTTGAGCTGAAGAGCTGAGGGACAGTGCCCAGGCCCAGAATTCAGGGACAAGACTGACCAAAAAAAAAAGACAAATGTGTTTCTCTAAGAGCTGCTCTAGCTCTTCTAGTGCCTGGAAAATATGGATGTGCTCTGACTTGGATGTCCTTCTGGATTTTAGGTACCAGTACCCGACGATGGATGAGCTTGCTGAAATGTTGCCTTCTGTTCTGACCCACTTAAGGTTGGTTCATTCTACAGTCTTTGATATTTTCTTTTCTTCCCATCACTTGTTTTTTGTTAGTTTCTTTTTGCTTTTGACTTTGTATTGTATCTTTATCAGGGTGTACAGTTATGAGCAAAACATTGTGCTTAGTGAAGTGAGGAGAAAGAGTTAACAAGTAAGCCAACAAAAATTGGTATGAAGTTCAACAAAAGAAGTGAGCTTGCCTGTAACTCAGTCCTGGAGCACATGCTTCCATGCATTATGCCCTGGTATTGATCCCCAGCACCAAAACAGCAAGGAAAAGAAGTCAAGTAGATGTTGTGATAGATAAAGATAGGATTCTCCAAAGTAAGAAGACCTACTATGGAATGACTCTCTAGGAAAGCACTTGTAGTCTGAGACCTGGAAGGTAAAAGCAGCTACTTAGAAAGTGGATTCCAGGGCTGGGAAGGTGGCTCAGTGGTAGAGCGCTTGCCTTGCATGCCTGAGGCCCTGGGTTCGATTCCTCAGCACCACATAAGCAAAAAGAAAAAAGCTG